ATTGTAACTTTTATACATATAGCAGCGAGGAACTTACTAATCATATCAAGAAGAAGCATAGTCAACATTATGTTAAGTTAAGTGCTCAGCAGTCTCAAAACACACTCCAAGAGAAGGTAAAATTGATATATTTTTAATAAAACAGTAGAAAATAGGTCGAGAAAATAACTTGAAGTTTTTTTAAAAAGGATTTATGGTACTAATTCTGCTTCGGATTAATGAACGTTCGTTGAAATGATACATTTTTCGTTGAAATGAACTTACTAATCATATCAAGAAGAAGCATAGTCAACATTATGTTAAGTTAAGTGCTCAGCAGTCTCAAAACACACTCCAAGAGAAGGTAAAATTGATATATTTTTAATAAAACACTAGAAAATAGGTCGAGAAAATAACTTGAAGGATTTATGGTACTAATTCTGCTTCGGATTAATGAACGTTCGTTGAAATGATACATTTTTCCCTCCAAAACTCAATTTTCAAATAAAACTTTGTTCGAATTTGATTAAGTTGGAAGATAGTAGAACAAGCAGAAACTAAGAAAAAATAAAATTGAGATAGAAACTTAATTTAATTTATTAGGAGTTTAGAGATTTTTTTAAATTAAAATTTAGCTTATATATTACATCTTGAGAAAAAATCCAACATAAAAGTGTAATGTTTGGAATTTTTTTATCATTTGATATACTAGGTTGACTTATTTGAAAATTCAGATTTTTTCAAAATACTTTGTTGTAAATCAAAACCAACTCCAACATCTTTTGGAAGATGATACACGAAGCATAAATAAAAAATTTTCTTTCAAGATCTACATTTCATTATTTTGTTTTTAACTATGTAGAGTTTTCTTTTGCTTAATAAAAATCCGAAAATTACTCAATTGTTCCAGCTTGCACCTTGATTTCCTTTTGCTAAATCAATTTTTTGAGACGCGCTCTTTTAGAAGTTTTTAGATATTGTAGATGTTAGGAACTAGGTTCCCTTGCGTATTTCCGGAGGTTTTCAGAATATAACTAATAGAGCTGCTCCTAATTTGTTCTTAAATTGTAAAAACAAAATTCATAATCTCATTTTTACATATTTTTTTGAATGTTTTAACCAGCACCGATTCTTTCTCACTTGGATATTTTTGAAAAAACTTCCCTCATAAATAAAAAAAGCGATTTAATAACTATTTTGCGAGAAAAGTGATAGTTATTGATCTCAAAAGTTGTGTTTTTGCTTAAATAGTTCACGGTAGCAACTGAACAAGGTAACCTTGAGGAAGACATTTACAATTTTTATCGTAATGTTCAGACGGTATCAGTTCTAATTTCATCTCTGCCAGCAAATTGTTTGTTCAATTGATACTATTTTCCTCCTAAATTCTCCAGTTCTGACTAAATTTTCTTGTGAAGTATGTTCAATAGCGAAAACATGTATTAAGCAGAAAGCAAGAATAACCTTAAAACATAGAGCATTTCTAGAGAAAATCATGAAAAAATGACTTTTTTTTTCAGAAAAGTGATAGTTATTGATCCCATAAGTTGTATTTTTGCTTAAATAGTTTACTGTAGCACCTAAAAAGGGAAATTTGAGGAAGACAGGTTCTAATTTCATCTTTACCAGCAAATTGTTCGTTCAATTGTTACTATTTTTCTCCTAAATTCTCCAGTTCTGACTAAACTTTCTTGCAAAGTGTGTTCAATAGCGAAAACATGCATTAAGCAGAAAGCAGGAATAACCTTAAAACATAGAGCATTTCTACAGAAAATCATGAAAAAATGACTATTTTTCCAGAAAAGTGATAGTTATTTATCCCAAAAATTGTATTTTTGCTTAAATAGTTTACTGTAGCACCTAACAAGGGAAACTTGAGGAAGACATTTACAATTTTTATCGTAATAATCAGACGGTATCAGTTCTAATTTCATCTCTGCTAGCAATTTGTTCGTTCGATTGATACTATTTTCCCCCTAAATTCTCCAGTTCTGACTAAATTTTCTTGCAAAGTGTGTTCAATAGCGAAACCATGTATTAAGCAGAAAGTAAAAATAACCTTCAAGAATAAAACATTTCTACGGAAAATCTTGAAAATTATGTTGCAGAAGCAACAGAGATAATCATCAGTTATGAAGAAGATTTTGTTGAATTTGAGCCAATATAGAATAAATTTTTAAGAAAAATTTATCTCATTTTCAGTCAATTTTAGCAATTAACTGTTCATTTTTTATCATTGATCTGAAATTTTGTACTATTAAGGTGAATAACTTCTCTGAATTTGTAATTTTTGTACAAATTTGGGTTAATCATTGAGCAAAAATCAGGAAGTTTTATGGAATATTGCTCTTAATGTTCATTTGTATTGAGAGTCCTATTTCAATTCTCCCTAAATTGGACAAAAATCAGTTAATTATCCAATTATAAGGTTGAAAATGGAAAATTTTTGACAAATTTGAATAATTTTTATTTTACTTTCTTGAAATTTACGGTTACTTTCACTATCTTCCGCAAGTTTCAATTTCGATTCAGCTTTTATGAGCTTTCTTGTTAATGTTGAGAGCGTTATATAACCCGCTTTGTTACTCAAATAATGCTAAAATTTATCGTATTTCAATTTTTTGTGTGAAAAATTTGGAAAAATCCATATTTCTATTCAAAGTTTTGTATCAGTGTCTCAACATGATGCCAATTGAAATACAATTTGAGCTTAATTTTAAACTCTAAACATATCCATATTTTTGAAGTTAGATCAGAAGCAACAAAACACTAGCCAAAACCTTGAGATTTTTGCAGTTCTTTCCAAAAACTTGCAGTTTGTTCCAAAAGTTTGTTCCAGGAAGATAGAATCTAAGATTATCCAATAAATTAGAACGAATTACAATAAAACTTAGTGTTTTAAAGTTTTTATGAAAAATTTTCAATTTTTGTGACCAAAAAATCTTACCATTGACTTACCATGTACAATAAAACTGAATACATAACCTTAATTACACATCCTACACGTAATTAAGCAGTATTAATTAACAATTAGATAATGCGAGCCAAATTTTTGCGAAAAAACGAGACATTTCCACACAAAAACCAAAAGTTTTTCAAAAAACATGATTTTTTTCTCAAAGTTTCGTTAGGTTTCAGTATAGCTTTAGATAGTTTTCACGTCGAATCAAACCTTTAAAATAATAATCAAAACATCTAAACCGTAGAAGCCAGCTAAGAAACGCAAGTATCGGCAAAATCGAGCTCAAAAAATTCTGGCGCCAAAAATTTTTCGGAAACTTACCATCTTACCATCTGAAACTTTACCATCATACCATCTGAAACTTACCATCGTAATACATTAGGAATCCTATTCCCTAATGAGTTCTTAATTACCTACAATGAATTTCTTATACATAGGGAAATCTATGCATGGGAAATTCGGGCGCCGAAAAAAACTTACCATCTGAAACCTCGTATCTTAATACATTGGGAAACCTATTCCCTATCTTAATACATTGGGAAATCTATAGCCTATCTTAATACATAGGGTGAAGACCGGATACTCTATAGCCTATGTTAATACATGGGGGTCTTCACAAACCCCCCTCCCCCCCCCCCCCCCCCCGGCTGAACTGCCCCACCAACATATACTACTAACACATGCATTGCTTGTGTAAACAAACGAATGCAAAAATCACAAATAATCGCCACAAAAAAAGAACTTGTAGAAAAACTGAAAAGACTCTGAAAGCCTATGAAAATGACGCAATTACATCAAGAATTATCGGTTATGAAATTTATACGCAACGGTAAAAGAACTAGATCACAACAAAAAGAAACATTTAAAAAAACGCCAAAAATGGAAAATAAATCATGATAAATTCTTAAAAAATTTGAGCCAGAAAGAACCACACGCCTGGATCTCGTCCATAGCTTGCTGCCACTTTTCTCTTTAGACAAAAAATTCGATTCAAATCTGCAAATAAAATCTGGACGTTAAACCATCAACTTGAATCGATTTCAAATAAAAAATTTTTAATCTGAAATACACCTTTCTAATTAAACCTAAAACTAGTTTCACGCAATTTTGAGAAAAAAAAACAGAAAACATTCATTCGAAAAAAAACTTTTAAATTTTCTGAAAAAAAATTCTGGCAGAAAAATTTCAAAAATTTGTATTTCTTAGTGAGAAACTTGGCGCCGATGAAATCAGAAAACCATGAACTATATTTACTCTCATGAAAAATAAGAAAGAAGTGTCAAAAAATCTACTAACAAATTGGTTCGAAATCAATAAAGCCGACAAAAAATCAAATTACATCTAAAAATCTTTTTCCGCTGTAAAACAATTAGCACTTAGTTGTTGAAGTCAGCTTTTGAATTACAGCTGTTAGACGTGCATCTTGAATAGAAAAGGAAAAACATTTGTAGATGAACAAAATTCGATCAATCTGTGGACGAAGTTGTTTACGGGAAAAAAGTTTTTTTTTCATCAGAATATAATACCCTTGCTTATCGCAAGGGTGAAAAAGCCTCAATCCCATGTATTTTCATAATGCCTGTTTTTATCAAACATGATATTTAAGAAAACAAGCCAAGCAAGACAGCTGAGTGTACAATCATCAACTGAACAAAACTTACTCAGCGAAAAAACAGCCGACAGCATTTGAGAAAAAATCGTGATGTGACACCTAAGCTGACGAAACTTGGGCAGAAAAACTAAAGTCACAATTCAGTTTTTACCGGAAAACAATTTCAAGTTCACACACTGAAACAAGGTCCTATCGAGACTCGAATTCCAGCCCTCAGTGAGCAAAAGCAACCGCGTTACCTCAAGGGCAAATGGAAGGGAGCCTGAAAGTAGAGGTTCAATAATGAAGCAAGCTCAATTTCTTTTTTGTAAAAAAAGTTGTTTACGGGAAAAAGACTAGTTTCCGATTACAAGACACTTGCTCTCGCAAGTGTAATAAAACTGAATCACCAAGTATTTTCAATTACCTTTAAAATGACTACAAATTGATATTATTTGATTCTAACAAATCTTTTTCACTTCAAGACGAAAATGAGACTCAACCATTAATTAACTCGGTAATTCTTTGCAAAGTATCTAGCCAAACTCAACGACGACTTACATTCCTATCAAAAAATCGACTGATTTTGTCTAGAAATTAATGGTTGGTTTATTAAGTAGTAAGATTGAGTTTGAGTTTCCACTTCATTGGGATGATGATCTGGCCCTTTTCAAGGTCTCTCTTAAGCAATACCAGTGTAACTTTCAGCTACCATCGATCGTCTATGGAGTGCCGCGACTGCATAACATCTTTCATCGTCTTGCTAAGTAAACATTTTCCATCAGATCGCCTGTTTTCTCGGCCGCCGTTTTCAAATTTTAAATTTTTCAATCTGGATGGCCCAAATCTATCGGAATCGAAAGCTGGTGCTCTACCTGCCAATCGGTCTCTTAAATCAGCAGATAATGAGGCCTCTTTGGATCCAAAGCCCTTGTAACCACTTTCGGTACTCGGTAGGAAGCCGCCTTTACACTTCAGGACATCTCGTAAATCCGTTTGCCCACTTTTAGGCGGAAGGCGACGTTTTAGTGCTCTTCTATCGTAAATTACATCAGAGCTTCTTGAATCATTTTGTATTTTTTCTATCACATCATTTTCTGATACAGATTTATGTGAAGACATTGGTGAGTCTGATCCAAGGACGCCTAGTGTTGTTGGCTTTATAGGAACTTTTTGCTCTGGACCGAGTCGTTTGTAAACGCTGTCATATTTGGTCAACCTGATGACCGTCCGATCTTTATCAGATAATGATGTCGTTTTTCGATCCCCAGATTCGTCTAAAATCGTGAGCGATCCAGCTTGTTTGTTTTCTTCCTTGATTTCAGATTTTGACCCGAGTCTGTTAATAAGCTTCTCTTCTCTCTTGTCCGACACGAGCGTTGTTGGTCTTACTTCGTCTGAGTAATCATTCCTGAAAGTTCCAATGTAGTCTAGACCTGTCTGGAATCTAGACCTATCTAGCGATTGCCTTCCCCGTGCAAGAATGTTGCGTACTTCTCGATTTTGCTCCACTTCCTGACTCAAGCTTATGGTTTTCTGCGGAAAAAATTCTTCTAGCATATCGTCTCGTCGATCACTGATTACTCGTACAAAGGTTGTGGCAACCGGTGACATTACCAACTTTACTGTCTGCTCTTTTTTCGGATGATTTCCCAAATCATCTAAGCCAGTAATACTGTCTTCAATATCGGATTCCCCAAATTTTGCTTCAGATAACATTCTGTCGTTTGACTTATCCAAGTGATACTGACCGGCAAGGTACGTTAGGCGACACAGGTTCATTAAATCATTTGTTTCCTCGTCACTGCGAGAGGAACTCATCAATCTCAATTTAGAAGGCTGTCCAAGCAGATCCCCTGTAGTAATAATTTCAATGTCTCTACTGACAGTTGGCTCAGGTTTTTCGGTGACATCTTTATTCATTTTCAACAGTCCGCGATTTCTTTTATGTATCACGCGGGACTCTTCAGTGGGTATGTCTTCTAGCACAACTTTACGCTTTTTCGACAAATTCTTTGCACGCTTAAGATCTCTTTCAGAGCTAGAATCGTATCTTTCGGACTCAGTCTCAGTTTCACTTACTTTTATTTTGCCTTCTCGCTTGCGAGATCTTGGTAATTCATTTCCTTTGGACGTACTTGATATCTTTTTAGTTTTACTCGTTGACGAAATCTTCTTTCTCTGGGAACGAGATTCCTGGTTTTGCAGATAATTTTTTCGTTTCCCTGGATCAGAGCTCCGTGTATTATATGCACTCTCGTACGAACTACTTGATACCTTTCTGGTACGAGGAGTTTCTTTATGCCTGGCATTGTTCCTCGATTCCTCTTTTGGTCGATCTTTTAAGGCATCTTTGCTTGCAGTTATTTGTTGGCCCATCACTGATGAGCTGGTCTCTTTCTTTTTCGAATGTGAAAGGGGTTGAATTTCGCTGTAAATCAGTTTGGCATGTCTAAGAATTGCTATTACATCTCCAACGGCGCGTATGCCAAGCTCATGTAGAATTTCTTTATTTATATCCGGTAGCATGCTCTTCTTCATTCGATTATCGATAAACAGAACAGCATAATTTGCACAAACTGAAGGAGGAAGTCCGGCCTCTTTGAAAAAATTGCCCCAAGTAAAGCTGGATCGATTTAACTCAAGTTTATCTGATGCCATTTAGGTTAAGTACAACTGAAAAAAAGATCAACTACTACACAAAAACTTCGACCAAAAAGTTTACAGAATAAAATCATAGCCAACCGACTCATTTGGAACGCGATGAAACAGAAAAAAAAACACTAACTTGTTAGTGAAAAAGCTTCAACTATCGAATTCCAGAAAAAAGGGACAGTAAAGCTCTTTGAATTTCAAAACAATTTCTGATCGATACTTTTGTTTAAACTGATCAAAAAAGCAATAAGAAATTTGAAATGTTAATTCAATCGTTTTCGCACATTTTGTGCATCATCATGGTTAAAAATAGTTTTTTTTTCTTTCATGGTTATAAAATTGCGACTTGGGAATATTTTTGATTCTGACATGTGTAACATTCGCCCGGAAGATACATATCGACGGAGAACAAAACTGAGTCCTAAGACGACTGGCTAACGTCTAAACAGAGCTTTGCATGCTTTTCACCGTCTCTACCAAGCCAGTACTTTCGGTGGTCTTTCTAACATCGGGTCGACAAAAAACGTTACTGCTTTCGGCTTCGGTCAAAGCACTCAAATTAACTTAATTACATGCAGAAATAGTGAGCTCATGGCTGGGTCTCAGTATCCCCATACCACGAGGTCACTCCTAAAAACAGGGCTACTACTTATTGAATTATTATTGTTTTTGTTCAGTAGATAAAAATCATCATCTCCATCGAAGATGGATCAACCCTTTCCCCCAAATCCTAGCTTCTCATCTTAGTAGAATGAATTCAGATGTTAATTAAATTCAAATCAGGACATGACAGGGAAGCTAAAAGTTCATATAAGATGATAAAAGTTTCAGTCCCGAAACCCCTCCGGATTCGCGAATCCACTGAATCAAGCACGTTAAGCTTGATTTCTCTGTAATCCGGAAGGCTGGTTTCCACCCCTCACTGTTGTTAGCAACTGCCTTGCAACTATTGTAGCCACACAATAGTTGCAACTTGGAGCGGTCTCTGCTACTTCTGCTTTTCTCTGATTCTGATTCTCAATTTTCTCGTTGTTGTCGTCGTCGCAACTATCGTTGTTGTGTTGCTCTTCAGTTGTTCTGCCAAAATGGCCGTTTTTGACGTTTCTGAGAATTGTTACGTCATCAATTCGAAAATTTAAAATTTAGGAATTTCCGAATCCTTCAGCCTTCGCGTTTTGTCTAATCGTTCGAATAACGTTCTTATTCCTTCTAAATCGCCAATTCGGAAGGTCCGCTGCTAAAAACTCGAAATCGCCGAATCTGCATTTTGGCACATTCTGGTCGAATGTCACATACTCCCCGGACAATCCGGTCAATGTCCTCATTGAATCTCGCAATGTTCGAAAATTAGGTTTAGTGTCATCGAACAGAATTTACAAAATGCACGAAATTACTTTTATCCACGTCATATCGACTCACTGCAGAATATAAATTGCATCATACTACATCACTATAGCCTTCAAATTCTTTCATTAATCTGCACATTGAGGATATGACCTAAGATAAAAACATATTTTGCGACTTCCAATGTCAATGTCCTGAATAAAAACTTTTTCTCCTAAATTTAAAAGGTGTTGGTTTGCAGGACAGTCCTGCCAACCAACAAGCTAAAATTATCCTACCATGCTTCTTCCCTTCGGAAATCTTGCTTGTTATCGTCCTGAATATTAAAACTAAGAAACTCTCTGGTCAGAAAGAACAATGAAACAATCTCCCTCTTCGAGAGATTACCCACGCCTTTCATGTCACCACAAAGTGATCAGTTCTCCTAGCTGATTAAAAACAGTCATGCAGGCTGGAATATTTAAAGATACTCCTTCACTCAAGCCTTTCTAAATAAATAGTAAGTAAGTATCTCTAAAGCCACCCAACAAAAATCAAAATGCAAATTTATAAATGCAACAATTTCAAAACTCAACTAAATGTTTCAGTTTTCAATCACAACTTGGTTGCTTGGTTTCTCACTTGAGTTTTTTCACACATATAAAACAATTCTGAGCTTTAACTTTTTCTTCATCACTCCTTTGTTTTCTTCTTTTTTCGTCGTTTAGAAGTTCTAAAACTTCTAAATTCTTCTAATTTCGTTTCTTTTTGCATCTCGTTTTTCGGCCATTCGTCAATGTTCCATTTCCTCCTCCTGTGATAATGACTCTGCACTCTCAGTTTCTGTATCCTGCAACACGTCGTTAGCTATCCTGACGCTGTTGGAAGGCGTCCTCCAATACTTCTGCTCTTCTACCCACTGTTTGCAACAAGGTAGGGGATCCACGTTAGATTCTCTGTTCCTGCAGAAGCTGTTGTGCAGACACAACGTCACATTTCTCTCCAAATCTTCCTTCAACATCTCTGTCTTCTCCTTTCCACTACGTTCGTTGTCCCGGAAATTCTTTTCACAGCGGTGGTCACTGCATTCCGATGAGTCACGAGAGCTCGCTTGAAAGCTCCTGCTCCATTGTCCAGCTGATATTCACTGTACACTCTGCCGTGCTTCGACTTATGCTTCTTAGCATATTCGTACAACCATGCAGTCATGTTAGCTCTGAACCATGGCATCAATCGTTTTCTTGCATATATCTTCTTCACTTCCATCGGAATGTTTAGAATTTTGCACATTGTCTCAAAAAGATCTAAATCTTTTAGACAATCTAATTTCCGCAACTGTTCTCTCGTTGGCGCTTCCTGTCTATTGTTCTCTCTTACGTGAGCTTCCAGCCATTGTATCGCCATCATAACTCCCACTATCACTATTGTTATGGGCTGTGATGAGTCTGGTAAACCCATGGAGAGCAGCTCTCCACAGTCCCAGATCAATATCAGATTACTACGCTTGGGATACCACCAGGTCTGCAGCAAGCAGTGGCAAGGAAATTTGTCATGTGTCAACATGATGTTCCTCCAATTACAATTTCCCGAAGCTTCCAGTAATGGTTTCACTTCCATCATCACTCGGTGGACTTCATCATTCTGGTATACTGTATTGTAATCTGTGACAGTTGATCCTCTCTGTTTCTGTCTCTCAAAGTCACCGAAGTTCCCGCTCACGTATCCCATGAACTTCTTTCCTAGTATCGATTCTAACTCTTCCTTCGTCCTCTCTGGAACTGCTGAGAACATCTTACATAGCAACTCGTAAGATTTCTCGGACATCCTCGCCAGTCTCACACACTTCGGCACTGAGAAGGCTTGATCCACGATCGTTCTCGTACTCTTTACGTCCACAGCTACGAATTGTACCGGGTATCTGCTCTTGCACATTAGAGCCAATGTTGAACCCACCAAATATTGTGCTCCTGATGGTCTACAATAAGTCTCACTGTGTCTGATGTTCATTTCCGTTTCGATCGCTTCCCTCCATTTTCCTATGTATTTCTGCTCGGTTTGCAGAACTCCTGGGAACACTTCTACACTGATGGCTGTGACCATCTCATGTCTCTGTTCTAGATTCAATAGTGACTCTAAAGAACTAAACATGCTGTAGAATCCTAGTGCAGTCACTAGATTCACCTCGGTTCCTCCATGGCAATCTGCTATCAGTTCCGTTTCTGTTCTTGCTTTCATCACGACGTTTCCAAACAATACCGTCAATTGCTTGTGTTGTTTCTCTAGGGTCTTCACACAGTCCAGACCTCCACAAAAGTGACCCTCCAGTCCACAGACTTCCGCCAGACAGCTACCAGATTTGACCCAGTCTTCTGGTCCCCAGCCAGGCAACTCCACTTTATCTTCTCCGTTGCTCTTAGAGGCCGTTATCATCATATTATATATGATGTTAAGGTCACGCAGGTTACATTCTGCATTCAGTTCCCTCTGCACGTCTTGTGTCGCCCGTAATATTGAGTCAGCGTTGGGACTAGGACACCATGATGGCCTCATCAATTCCCACACTGCCATCAAGCTCGTTCTCAGTAATTCATCTGAGAATCCCAACCCAAACTCCACTCTTTTGTCGGATTTTGGTACGGAAGGTGCAGTCACCTCTTCTTCCAAGACCAGTCTCAATTTGGCCTGTGGATTGTTAACGCTCTTAATCGTTACAATTCTGGACGTCCAGAATCTAAGTAACACCGCCTGCTCAAAATCGAAGAAGCAATCGCGTATGTCTTCACTCAGGAAAGGGTTGTACGCTATCCCTATGACTCCGGATACGTAGCTATACGATTTCTTCTTGATCGGTCCACAGTATTCACTGGACTTCGGCAGTGCCCCCATAGATTCTTTAGTGAGTCTCAGCTCCTTGTTTGAGAATCTCCTGATTTCATCTATCTTTCTCATGGGTTCTAACTCCCCGGGTTCTTTCATATTCACCCTCATCGGTTTGCTTTGCTGCATATCTAGCAGTGCTAGCAAGAGTAAGTCTTTCGCTCGCTCATCGCCTTCCCTCAGCATCTTAACACAAGTGTTCAATGCAGGTACTGAAATCTGCTTTATCATGAACCGAATGAAACAGAGAGCGTCTCTCCGCTTCGCACACGCTACTGCTGCTCCCTCTTGGACTATCAGATCCCTCAGGTTCGTCATAAGGAACACCTTTTCTTCTTTTGACCTCTTCCTTTCTTCTGAATCATACTCTTCGCGAGTTAGTCCCATCATGCAGTAGCAAACCTCAGTTGTAACTCTTTTCTTACGTAAGGTACTGCCACGAGAGCGTGTATTCTTGGCGTAGTCCTCATCTCCTCTTCGAAGTACCTTAATACCACTGCTTTCCATGGAAGGCTCACCAACTGCTCCATCGTTTCTGCCTGTATCTCAGACGACGCTAAAGTCCCGTACGCCTTCTGCTTGAGGGTGGTGCCTTGCAACATTGTCTCTAGTTAACCCTCCATGGCACCCTTGTCTTCCAGAGCCATCACGTACCCTCTAGCCGAGTTTCGGTACTCCAACATTTCCATGTATCCACCAGCGGTTTCATCTATCGACACAGCCTCCGATACTGTCAGTCGGTTGTATTCCACTGGTACTAGTTGTCCTGCGACATTTCCCTTTCCGTGATTCATGGGAGATGGCTTAAAGTCTTTCATTTTGCTCTTTCCACATTGGCTGAG